AGCTTAGTGCCAAAGTACTTGCCTAGCAAATGCAATGTTGAGTTCGATTCCCAGTATTAAAAAAAGAAAAACATAGATGCATTACATGTACAAAAAGATAGGTGTTTTTACAAAGTGAATTTGTAATAGTTTCATAAAATACCCTGTTTATAGAAGAGAAAGACTAGTGCGTCACCAAGCACATGAATAGGTTCTCAAACCAATTACTAAAGATAGATGTGAAAATTAAAACAGTGGTATATCTTCTTACAGCTATACCATGAGAAAAACTTTAAATCCTAGATGGTGACATGTTTCAGTTAGAAGATGGGGATTTAGGGACTGAATGTGCACGGTGGCTGTTCTGGAAAGCAAGAAGGCATTACTTAGATGAGATTAGTCAAAGTATCCATGGGAACTCAGCAGTGCTGGTTTGAGATGTCTGTCAGTCTACCATCATCTATCTATCCATTGTCTCCAAGGCCCATGAGAGTACATTTACAAAGATATCCATTATGTCATTATTTTTCGTGTTGGAAAAATCAGATGCAGCACAGGTGCCTCTGCTAGGAACATTTAGGAAAGGAAACAGATCAACTATGATGAAGACTGAAGCTGTTAGGCTCAGTCATTGGCAAAGTAGCTTTAGTGATTAGCCAAGAATATAGAAGTAAGATATAAAATGCAATATTATTTATGTGGATAAAAATTACATGCAATTAACTCACTCCCCCAAATTACCCTTAGACCATACTCTCCACAGAATTCACAGTAAGTGGTTTGTTATTATCTACTAGAAAATAGCATACATGGAGATTGAGATTGGGGAGAACCAAGTTAGGTCAAACTCTAGGCAATAAAACAGTACAAAACATTAAAAAATAGAAATCATTTAATAGCTACTTCCATATTACAGTTAACTGAAAATCAGTAACAGATATTTGGAAATAACATACTTAGGGATTGAACAACACATTCCTTCTAAGGAAAATATGGGTCAAAGAAAAAGAATCTTGAGAATTGTTTAAAAAGCTTAAACTAGGGGCTGGGAAGGTGGCTCAGTGGTAGAGCACTTGCCTTGCATGCTCGAGGCCCTGGGTTCAATTCCTCAGCACCACATAAGCAAAAAGAAAAAAGCCGGAAGTGGCGCTGTGGCTCAAGTGATAGAGCGCTAGCCTTGAGCTGAAGAGCTGAGGGACAGCGCCCAGGCCCAGAGTTCAGGCCCCACGACCGGACCCCAAAAAAAAAAGCTTAAACTAAATAAAAATTTAATAAAACTCATCAAGATTGTGGTATATATTGAAAATGGTGCCTAGAGGTAAATGTACACCATTAAATACATATGATAGAAAATAAGAAAGATCTAAAAATTATTATCCAACTTTCTAGGCTGGAAAATAAGAAATATTGAGGGATGGTTGAAGTTGGGAGAGATGGGGAAAATTATGAAAGAGGTAACATTGATCAGTTTCTTTGTACAACTAGTTAAAGATGATAAAAACATTTAAAAGAAAAAGGAAAGAAGAATATATTAAGTTAAAACAAAGCATAAGTAAAGGAGTAATACATTTACACTTATTTAAGATATAAAAAAGAATCAAAGAAAGAAGTCAAATTTTTTTAGAGAAGACCACCAGTGTTGATTGAACCTTTAAAAACCAAAGATCAAAAAGAAGGTGGCAATAAAAAATCAGAGTTGGGAAAGAAGAAAGAGTACAAATTAATGAACTGCTTCAAACAAGTGTTTTAAAAGAGATTAACAGAGACTTAACCACTGAAGGTTTTCCCTGAAGCACCCACAAATAGAAAAAGGACAATGACCAGTGAAAGTGTCTGAAAAGACATGGGTAATATCCAAGAGCAGCTCTTATTAGCTGTGTGATTGCTGGCAGATTGCTTAACTGTCTCAATGTTATCATCTGAAAACCAGGGATGATGGCACATAAAAAGAAGGTATTTGTGAGTAGTATAGCTTTAATCAATTTATCAAATATGTGTAGAATAAAAGAAGTTTCACAGACGTCAAAAAAGGAGAACATTGTAAATGATTCCTGAGAGGCCAGTAGGAAGAATTGAAAATGACCTTCGATTAGATCAGGTTATTAGGCAGGACAAGAGATTTTCGCAGAGATTTCATGTCAGTCATTCTTATATAGCACTGTATGTACTTATCTGCAAGACTAACAAGGGTAGAGATTTCTAGTATTTCAGAATTTTCCCCTAAAATAAAGTCAAAAGAGTAAGATTAGAAAAGCTACTTAAATATTCCTGTTTTCATATCTCATTGACTCACCTGCTAGTCATGGTAAAAAGCTAAAAACTGCACTTTTCCAGATTTCCTTGCAGCAAACCCAATGGCAGCAAATACATTTACACTAACTAAATAGACTTTTGTGCAGTTTAGAAGGTATTAGTGAAGAGACCCTCCCTCTTCAGTATAACCAGAGTTCTCAATGTTTGTTAAAATTGCAATAATTCTGCAATGGGGTCTGAAAATTCACATTGCTAAGGAGTTTTTAAGTGATGTTCATCTAGGCCTCTTTCATTCATTTCCTAGTCTCATGAGTAAAGGTAACATTCTTCATGGTGGCAGAGTTGACAGTGACAGCTGGAGCTTCCTGACTTCAGGGTCATATCTAATGTGGAATACAACTGGGGGACACTTACCCTTCCACTACTCTTTCAAAACTGTAAGTACAAAATTTCACAAATTACATCTCTTTTTTGGCTAAAGACAACTAGCTATTTCTGCTTCCTTATACTCATTTGTTATATATATGAAAAAAGAATGCTCAAAAATCCTTCTTAGTCTAAAGCATTTCTCCTTTATATCATTATAAACAAGTAGGGAAAGAAAATATTGGATGGAGGATGCACTTATTGACTGTGCTTGGTAGGAATTTGGTGATTAGGCAGGACAAAAGATTTTGCAGCAGTGTATAATATTGGGTGTTCAATCATCCTAGTGTAATTTTCTTTTTTTATTGTGAAAATACCACACAGAGGGGTTACAATTACATGGGCAAGGAAATGAGTACATATCTTATCAAGCATTGTTGCCTCCTCCTTTGTTTCCCCTTTCCATCCCTTCCCATCTTCCCCTACACTCCCTCCCCCCACCAAAGTTGTAAAGTTCATTTTCGACATAAGGACTTGTACATCTCATTGTTGCAATGGGTCCACCTGTATCCCTATTTAAATGATTTGTTTTTTTTCCTTCCCCTCCACAAAGTATACCACCATCAAATACAATGAAAGCAGGGGTTATACCGTGGGGGAGGGACATACAAAGCAACAAAGAAATCATTTTATAAATATGTTAGAAACAATCGCAAGAAAGAAAAAAAACATTTGAATACTTATCTTGGGGTTCATTTCACCTAACATCAGTTTATATGACCTTTTCTGCTTGTCTCAGATATCTGATATAATTTTCTTTAGTCATCTTGAAGATGTCGTGAAAAAAAAGAGGTTCAGGAAGATGGAAAAGAGGAGGAGATTTCAGAAACTATCAGGAGGCATTTGAAATTGGGAGAGCATAATTAGGGCCATCTTAACATGCTCTTCACTGGAAATGTCATCACATAGATAAGGGAGCAATATGTGAGTATTCTGAGTGTAAGCTTGAGAACTACCCACGCTGGAGTTCCATCCACCATTTAAATACCATCTGTACATCTTGAGCAAGTTACCAAGCCAACTTTCCATGTCTGTAAGGTAGGACCACAATTGTACCTATGCATCCTGACTGTAACTGAAATACAATGAAAGCACCAAGAAAAGCTCCACTGAAAGCACGGTAGGTATTTCATGATGGTGGTGGTGGTGGTGATGATGATGATGATGATGATTATCATTATTATTTTACATATTTATGTCGATAATGGGGCTTGAACTCAGGGTTTGGGTGCTGTTCCTGAGCTATTCTGCTGAAGGCTAGCCTCTACCACTTGAACCATAGCTCCACGTCTGGCTTTTTGGTGGTTAATTGGAGGTAAGAGTCTCATGCACTTTTCTGCTTGGGATGGCTTTGGTCCCAAATCCTCAGATTTCAGCCTCCTGAATAGCTAAGATTACAGGTATGAGCCAAAGCATTATTATTGTTGTTATTCAGAAAATAACATGAAAGGATAAGATGAAAATTTCCACACAAGAATATACAGATGAGAAAGAGGAGAGGAAAGAAGCTGCATGAGAAAGGCATGGTAGGATATACCCGGTAATCCTAGAATAGGGAAGGTGTTGAAGAACCTCAAGTTTGAAGTCATCCTAGATTAAATAGTGAGACCTCATGGCAAAAAATAAAAACAAAGAGACTAGGCATTACTTGTAACTTTTAAATTCCACTGTAATTGCCTTGTGCACTCCCCAAATAGTTTTTAGTGTTTACTCCAAAGTAAAAACTGATTTGCATAATATTTCCTGTACTTAAGGCAACAAGACCATGAATGACTCTCAAATTCACTGCTGACAATTTAATCTAAATTTAATATTAGAATTTTGTCAGCTTACAATTAATATAAAAAAATTAGCCATAAGGCTAAAGATACAACAAGTGATAGTGAATGAACCTTGAGAGCTTGTTTGGAGGTACTAGCAAGGTAGTGCAGCTACTCGTATATCCTTGACCAGTCCTCCTCTATCAGGATGGTCGTCCTCTTCGACCGAGCATGCATCTTCGGGAGTGATGCACATGGAGCGATGAGGAAGGAAGGGGCCACCCACCTAGCCAGCCAGATCAGCCGAATCAACCTTGGCCATCAATGGGGTGACAGATGTCGCAGCCAGATCGCCCTCACATCCAAATGATAGTGAATGAAAGAAAACTTTAAGTTGGATATTCAAACAAGATGTGAAAAGAGAAGGAAAAAAGGAAGAAGAAAGAAGATGAAGCATAGATTTGGCCATTGGGAGAAGCATGTTTCCATCCTCCCCTGGGCTGACATGCAGAAGGCATCCCTGTGGGTGTTTATGGAGGTTACAGCCATTTGCTCTTAGACTGAGAAAGACTAACATTTGCATCAAATGAGTTTTCTCCTTAATGTTTTGTGTAGGGCAGCCTTTACCTCCTTGTTCCTCAGGCTGTAGATGAGGGGGTTGAGCATGGGGATCACGGTGGTGTAGAACACAGAGGCCACATTCTCCTGGGCCAAGGAACTGGAAGTGGAAGGCTTTAAGTACATGAATGCAGTGGATCCATAAAACAGCCCCACAGCCACAAAGTGGGAACTGCAGGTGCTGAAGGCTTTGGCTCTGCCTTCAGTGGAGCTGATGCGGAGGATGCTGGACAGGATGAAAGCATACGAAACAAGAACCATTAAGCCAGTCATTATAATGTCAAATCCAGCTAAAAAGAAGACAACAATCTCCACATCATAAGTGCTAGAACAGGAGAGCTTCATGAGAGGGAGGATGTCACAGAAGTAGTGGCTGATGAAGACCTCACAATAGTGCAGTTTTAACATGAGGCCAGTCTCTATTGTTGACCCAATGATTCCCATGGTATAGACCAGAGCCACCAGCAGGCAGCAGAGAGTATGAGACATGATGATGTGGTAGAACAAGGGGCGGCAGATGGCCACATAGCGGTCATAGGCCATCACCATGAGCATGTAACACTCAGCAATGACAAAAACAAGGAAGAAGTAGAGCTGAGACATGCACCCCACATAGGAGATGATGTTCTTGTTGTTTACAAAGTTGACCAACATTTTAGGGGTGATGACTGAGGAGTAGCAGAGATCCACAAAGGATAAGTTGCTGAGGAAGAAGTACATTGGGGTATGAAGCTGCTGGTTGAGACCAATCAGGGTGATCATGCCCAAGTTCCCCACCATGGTGGTCACATAGATTCCAAGGAAGAGGAGGAAGAGAGGGATCTGGAACTCTGGCTGGTTAGTTAATCCTCCAAGAATGAACTCAGCCACTGTTGAATGGTTTTCTGTAGCCATTTTCTTTGTGCAGGAAGCCTGTGGTGATGGGAGAGGAGATAGCTAGCGAGAGGCTGCTCTTCCTCTGATTTCTTTGCCCTTTGTCATCTCCTGAGCCAGCCTGGCTGGCTGCAGGGCTGGTGCATGTTTCCTTTACTCCTGTTGCTTGCTGAGAGCAGGACCAGTGATGAGTGTTGTAAAGATTCTAAAGGTGAGAGGAAAGAAGGAAAACCTTGGATCTCTTACTTGTTTTCCAATGTCTTAGATAACTGGTTCTCAATGTGTCTTCTGTGGTTCAGCATTATCACCTTCATCCTGACCTTGCTGGGGATGCCAATTCTCAGGTCTCACTTCACAGGTACTGATTCAGGAACACTAGGATGAATCTAGTAACTTACTCATTTTTAAATCTAAAGTTTGTAAAGCTCTTCTTTATAGATGATAAGTAGTATATATTATATTTTGTAGTTTGGGATAGAATTTTTTCAGGAATGCAATTCCTCTCTCATCTATGTAATTCCTAATATTCAATGATATGGAACATGAATATCGAAATAAACTGTCATCGTACTATATCCATAAGCTGTGTCGTGTGATAAGTCAATTTTTGTACCTAGAAATATCAACTCCAAGTTGTTTGTTAAAATGACATAGGATTTTGCAATCTTTATTTCAAGTTTTAGTTTCACATAAAAATGTGAGTTTTCATTATGTGTATAGTATTGTTCTCGAATTCACTGGATATGTTCGTAATGTAGGTCTTTTCAATGTTAGTTTCATGTAACCACCGGAAAACTTAGAAAATATTTATGTCTAGGCTTTGTTCATAGATTTTTTTCGGTCTGTGATCCTGTTTGTGCACTGATACTTAGTATCATCCTTGGTAGATGAGTGTTCCATTGATAACATGATTATTGTTATTCTCAGATTGTAATTCCAAAATATGGCATTATTTCACTGCCAATTGCAAAGAAATTATAGTAATGAACATAGGAAGCATGGAGTATTATTGGTAGATATAATACATATAGATACTTTATCTGTGGGATTTTTTGGGGTCACAGTCCTGGGGCTTGAGCTCATGGTCTGCGTACTGTCCTTGAACTTTTGACTAGCACTATACCATATGAGACATAGCTCCACTTCAAGCTTTTTTGGTGGTTAATTAGAGGTAAGAATCTTATGGACTTTCTTGACCAGCCTGATTTCAAACCCTGAGCCTCAGATCTTAGCCTCCTGTGTAGCTAGGATTGCTGGTGTGAGTCACTGGTGCCCAGCAGATGGGATGTACTTCTCAGTAAACAAATTTCACGATGTTAATTATTCCTGATATAATTATAAGCTTTTCTGTAATGGTATGTTTTTCATGTTCTTTCTAAGTCAATCTCAGTGACTCTTGAAAATACTGATCTAGAGAAAATGTCGATTTAAATCACATTTTGATTCTTATTTTACTTTGTTAAAATTGATGTGCCAGATACCAAATGACCTGCCTAAGGCCTGCTACTTACAGGTGACTTGGAACCAACCTTACCTCTCTCTCTCCTGGCAATGAGCTTCTTCCCTTTCCTTCCTTGTGAAGCCTTCTAAATCAGAAGATGTATCTCAACAATGCTTTATGTTTGACATCTTAGTATGTGCATAGCATAGAAAAAAGAATACTATATGTGTTTTTTAACTACATAGTAGTCTAGGAAATTGAAATTAAAACATTTCGGGGTTATGCAATGTTTTCCAATAAGAAGAGGGAAGATCTTGTCTTACATTTTAGGAATCCTGATCACTAACCTGTTTTGGCTCTACTAAACTTTACTGTTTGTTATATACTATATTTATGGTATGACTTTATTAATATTAACCAAAATCCTAATTTCAGTGTACATACAAGGATTATAGTAAATTAGAAACATAAAAAATGCAGATTAACCCTTCCCCCATTTTTCTATTTGTTGTCTAACACTGATAATGAACATCTTGGTATTTTCATCCTCTCTATGTATTAATTTATGAACACATTTTGTAATCTGATTTTTAATTCCATGTTACAAAATATTTATTTGTAACACAATATTATAAAATAAGTTAATTCATCTGATTCTTGAAATAATAATAACTGTACTAATGATGGTGTTTTTATATAAGTGTTTTTAATATTCTGATTTGGTATATAGTATGAGTACATTAAATTAAGAGACAATTCTGATTTGAATAAAAGAAAATATACATTAAATTGTATTTTATATTTGAACTTATTGGTGGAGAGATATTTAACTTTGTAATGGCTAGTATTTGAAATAAATGTGTACGCTTTATTTACTTACTTACTTAAATGATAGCTTAAATATATTTTTCGTTTTATCCAATCTCCACCCTAAAATGATAAAAAAATACAGAATGCACAGTGAACAACATTTTCATCGATACAAGTACTTTACAAAGAAGGTTAGGCAGCCTTATTTACCCAATGACATACAAATGGGAATACTAATGTGTAGAAGAAACTTTGATGAACTGAGTTTAATTTTTCATTTCCATAATCTTATAATAAATGAATATGGGAGGCATGAATCACATATTTCTTATGAATACAACAGCTCTTAACTCTAGAATTACCAGACTATCAGAGGTTCAGTGTTGCTTCCCAGACAAGCTAGGACGCAGGGAACATAGTACTTGGTGATGAAAAGTCCACATGTGGTCATAAATCGCCTGCACTATAAAAAATTCAAAGAAGAAAGGCTTTTATTACTCATTTTTAAAGATATAATGAAATACCTGTGCTGAGAAAAAATGAAATTCTCTTGGAAATTTTAATGAATAGCCTTACTTTCAATCATCAGTAAATTGTAGAAGCACGTGGATTTGTATCTAATGTCTGCACACTTAGGAGGAATGAGTCCCAGTGATTGAGTTGGGTTGTGTTTACATGTGTGTGCATAGACCATCTCCTGGGGTACAGTCTACTCTAGAGACTCTGATCTTTCTAAGGAACAATTAGACATCTATGAAGCATGATTTTTCTTCCAGTTATGTTGATTTTCCTCTTATTTGTAGATTAATGTGTAGTTACTTAATATGAACATTTTGATATTTAACCTAAATCATTTTATTACCATCATCACCACCATCATTACTAACATCCTTCCCCTTCCCATCTCCACAACTATTGCAGTCATTATCATCAACATACCATCAACATTACTCTATTATGGTTATTACTCATTATTCACATTAACTAACATTGGAATGATTTTGAAAGCAAATGAAAAGATTTTCAAAAGCAAACTATAGTTTTAGTAAAGGGAGACGGAAGTGATAGACACATAAGTCTATCATCTAACTGCTATATCTGCAGACTGCCAGTGTGGAGTGGCATGGGAATGTGGAGTCATAGATACTCTTCATTCCTGTGTGCTCATTCATTAGGGAAGTTTATTCACCAGGAAGTTTACTTCTCAACCATTTATTTAGTGCCTTTTTACTAATGGATGTGTTTTGATAAAGATTTTCTTTTCAGTGTGATATCATACAGTAGTTATTTATTTTTTGGATCTTTTAAATAAAGTATCTTTATTGTAAAGGTGATAAACAGGGGGATTACAGTTCATAAGTAAGATAATGAGTACATTTCTTTTTAAACAGTTATCCCTCCCGCATCTTCTCCTGCTTACCAGTCCCCACTCCCCTCCCCTCTAGTTATATAGTTAATTTCCAACATAACATCATTGTTGCATTAGTTAATCCTTTGTCCTGCTGTTTCTGTGATACTTTTTCCCTTATGCATATGGGATATACTTATGTACAAGACAAAGGGTATAGCAAACTTAAGCAGAAAAAAAAGAAAAGAAAGAACTGCATGCAGGACGTAATAAGAACTCCTTGTTTTCAATTCTTGGAGTCCATGTTGTTATGCTTCATTATATATGGCTCTATGCACTTAGCAATTGGGCTATTGAGATCCTCTTTTAAGAATATCATAGACATATTCTATTTATTACAAATGAGGGAAACCATGCAACTTACTTGTATACAGTAGTTATGTAAAGCAGTAGATTTTACTATGCTATTTTCCTATAGGGATACAAGATACTTGTTTCATCTCTCCATTACCCACACTTGTCCTATCTTTCTCCCTGTCTTCTGATTCCTTTCCTGTTTCCCAGTACTCCCTCTTACACTGTCATGGTTTTTTAAAAACATTCCACATATGAGAGAAAATATTTCTACTTCTCTTTCTGAATCTGGCTTAGTTCACAAAAGATGACTTCCATTTCTATCTACTCTCCTGTAAATGACATGTTTTTCATCTTCTTACCCTTTTTATATTGAGATTTGAACTCAAGGCTTTGTACTGATAGGCAGATGCTGTAGCACTTGGGCCATGCCCCAAATCCATTTTGCTTTCATTCTTTCTCTAGAAGTGTTTTACTTTTATGTACATGTTTAGGTTGGACAACAATCCTATTTATGCCCTCTGCATGGATAGGATAAAGGCATTTTTTTTGTTAAATTGAGATCTTATGAATAGTTTGATCTTGAACACTGACCTTCCTGCATCCTGAGTAGCAAAGGTTACACTAGTGAGCCACCATACCTGTATGAGTTTATTCTTAATGACAGAATAGTATTCCATTGTGAATATATTTGCATTTAATAAAAATCTGTTCATCTTTAGTGAGTGTCTATACTTCTTGTATGACTTGGTTATTATGAATAATGCTACAGTAAATATTTTAAAATGAAACTTTATTTAGAATCATTTATAGATTCACATGTCTTTGTGATAAATAATATGTGAGATTTTATTTTTTTAATCCGCTTTAACCTAATGGTGCCATCTTGCAAATGCAATTGTATAGTATCACATCCAGGATACTGACATTGACACACCACCTTTTTTTTTTCTCAGAGCTCCTTGGTTTTACACTTGTTTATGTGTGTATGTTTGTGTATTTTGTTCTATGTTGTTTTATTAATTAAACTGGTTCATTTATCTACCACTACAGTGCAGGTAAAAATCA